TTGAAAAAATATGCATATATGCACCTAAAACATTGATTTTTTTTGTTAAACGAATGCATTTTTGAAAAAAATTTCACTTATTTATAAAAATCGCAGTTTTTTTCTGAAAAAAAAAATGTAGTTTTTAAAAAAAATGCAGTTTTTTTCTAGAAAAAATGTAGTTTTTTTCTAGAAAAAAATACATTTTTTTCTAGAAAAAATGCAGTTTTTTTTGGAAAAAAAATGTTGTTTTTTTGAAAAAAAGATGCAGTTTTTAAAAAAATATTTTTTTCATTTTTTTTTAAAAATTCATTTTTTTTGAAAAATAAAATAAAAAACCTCAATTTTTAAAAAAATTGAAAATTACTTTTTTTTTAAATAGATCTGAAATTTTTAATTATTATGTTAATTTTTTAACATTTATATTAATATATTAAATAACACAAAAAATTAAACATTAAATGGGATTGGTAAGATGACGATCATGTTCTTAACGAATTAATTTTGATCCAACGCTCCACTTTTAGTTCTCGGGTTCTCGGAAAACCTTGAGTTGTCAACCAATATCAACCCTATATATATATATATATATATATATATATATATATATATATATATATATACACACACACACACACACATACTAGTCGTTTACCTGCGCCAAGCGTTAGGTGCGAATATTTTATTGAGAAATTAGTTTGTAGAGACGATTAGTTTTTTTATGTAAATAGTTTACTACTTATAAATAATTATCAATAAGAATCATGGTAGCAGAAGCCAAATCAATAAGAATTAAAAATGAAAATTTGGGATTCTTTAAAAATGCACATGGACACATGATTGATTGTGCATTATTAATTGTACAATACTTCTATGTACATCACATTTGATGTATAGACTTCACTTGCTTTGAATTGTTCGTCAGACTTCATTAATACTTTTGTATTTGTACGGGATATCTCTATGGATAATGTCATATAAAGTTGGTCATTCGTGAAAACCAATTCTGAAAGATAATTACGTATATTTGGAATTGTATGTCTATGAGCTTTATGGAACGTCATTGCGAAACATAATTGAATTGGAAATTATTTTCTTTTCAGCTTAAATAAGAATATGTCATCCAAACGGACATAGATGAATCATTCCAAAAAAAATACCCTTTTCCATATGGGTTTTTGTCATAAAAGCCCCCAAGTTTACATAAAAAAACCGGTTATGCCCAAAATCGTTTTTTTTTTTTTACCACAGATGCCTAACATTTGCCCCTCATGTTTCATTTCAATGTTTTTTACCGATTCCCCTTAAACAACTGGTTACTTCCACCTTTTTAACCCCCAAACATAAACCTCTTCCGTTAACATCGATCCAAAGTCTTTCCCTCCCCTATCTTCTATTCTCTCCCTCGTCTTCTACCCAAAGTATCTGTAAAATGTCGATTTCGTCTGCCAAACCAAGCTTCCAAGGTGGTCCAACATTGAGAAAGAAAAGAATAGTTAGATGTGGCTGTGGAGATGTGTGCAAGGTATCTGTTGCTCGAACACCTGAGAACTATGGAAAGAAGTTTTACGGGTGCCTTAATTACAAGGTAAACAATTTGCCCTAATTTGTAAATTTCTTGAGAAACCTTGAAATGGTACAATGAAGAAACCTTGAAACAATTTGCCCTAATTTGTATGTAATTCATACAAATTATTGTTTTTTTCTAGGTGGAAGAAGAGGATTGTGGTTTTTTCAAATGGTACAATGAAGAAAATGGTCACATTATCGACCCAACTCACACAAAGCAGAAGCAGGGGCAGGGGCAGGGGCAGGGGCATGGACATGGACAATTGAAGACTTTGGTAGAAATAATTGTAGGTCTTTTGGTTCTTATTTTTGTAATGGTGACAATAGTTGTTTTGAAGATGTAAATCATTTTGGATTGGCTTTTGGTAGAATGTTTGGGTTGACTTAGCTTTTGGTTTTTAGTTGCAAATGGAAGTACCATGCTGAAGTTGGCTAGTAACTGTTGTTTTGGATGAAGATTAAATAGCTAAATGGTATATGGTTCATAATATACATTAAATTGCTAAATGGTAAAGTACAATGCTAAAATTGGCTAACTGTAGTCACAAATGATACATAATATATATGTCAATGGTATGGATCATACAAAATATTTGTGAAATGCAAAGGGTAAAGTACAATGAAATGGTACAATGCTGTGAAATGGTAAAATAGAAATTATCTGTGAAATGTAAATGGTAAACATAATAAACATATGGCTTATAATATACATTAAATTGCTAAATGGTAAAGTACAATGCTAAAATTGGCTAACTGTAGTTACAAATGATACATAATATATATGCCAATGGTATGGATAAAAAAACATAGTATAAAAATAACAAACATATTATAACCATAATGAGGGGATTCATTACATCATATTCATGTACCAATACAAAAGATTGCAAAAGATCAACTAACATGTACCATCCATCCATTTGTACCAAATTGCCAAAAATATATCCCAAAAAGGCAACCCAAAAGGTACATGAGAACAAGTGGATGAAAGGTACACTTAGTGGGTGTATAAACTAACATGTACAAAATGTACCAAAAAGGGCTTCATGTGCAAATGCCCAAGTATACCATTCCCACCTAAATCCCCCATATACATAACTAACTACTCCAGATTCACTGGATTTGAACATGTGGAACCACCCCCATCTTTATCAAAAACTGCCTTTTTAAGATTTAGTTTAGTGATCCTCTCTGATTGCTTTCTTTTCCTTGTCTTAGGCACTATCAGATGACCTTCATCATTAGCAACCTCATTATTTAGAACATCACCAGCAGCCTCATTCCCATGATTAACACCTTCACCTTCAATCACATCACCATCATCTTGATTTTCAACACCTTCACCTTCACCTCCAATCACACCACCATCATTTAGAACATCATTTACAAAGTCAGCTTCACCTTCATCAACATCAGGCTCATCCTTATTTAAGTCCTGATGCAAGAAATAACAAGGTTAATAAATAACATATATTTAAAATTATGAGGTTAATAAATTACCATCTCAACTGGTGGAGTGTCATCAAGTTCAATTTCCAACCACCCCATGCTTTCAATTTCACCCATGGAATATCCTGCTTCAAGTAAATTTGCTATGTCTTCAACACTTGTCTTCATTTTATCTGGGAGAACATATGATGCATGTCCTTCAGTGAATTCAGGTTCTACACCACCTTCATTCACCAATGGAACATCAGATGCATCTAATGCATTTCCAGAACCAAGAATTTGATCAATTGCATCTCCAACTTCATCAAGACTTTGTTTTAGATCTTGGGAAACCTTTACTGGAACATCAACTACTTCTTCTTCTATCACCATAATGTCATCTTCCTCTTGTATCACCTCATTCACCAAAGGAACATCATTAACAGCAGGAAGTTGTATCACCTCATTCACAACTGGAACTTGGTTATTGACCAAATGAACTTCTTTAAAAATTGGCTCTGGCACCTTCACTGACACCTTAGTTTCTTCCTCTTCTATCATCTCATTCACCAAAGGAACATCATTAAGAGCAGCAGCTTGAGCAACCTCATTTGGAACCTGGTTGTTGACTTCATCCTGAAATTTGGTTGTTGACTTCCTATTTGGCCTTCTTACACCCAATTTCTTCCTTATAACATCTGGGATAGTTACTTCACTTGAAATTTCACCAACTCTGAAACTTGGGCCTCTTAAACCTAATTTCCTCATTTTCTTGCTAGTGTTAGAACTTGAAGCATGCAGACTGCCCTTTTGACTTGCTTGTTGACTAGGTTGAGTGGTTACAGTTGATGTCACAAGTGGTTGACTTCCCTGTTGACTTGCTTGTTGACTATATTGAATGGGTACAGAAACATGTGGATTGGATCCAGCTACATCACATTTCCTAGGCCTCCCAATCTTCTTTGGTAACATAGGAACTGGTACCTTTTTTCATTCTTGCAGCCTTTTTTATTATGCCCATACTCAAGACAATTAGCATATCTCACTGTCCTTGGGGGTTTCACCCTTGAAGTGGAACTAAACTTACTCTCTTTCTCACTTGCATGCCTCCTTCTTTTGGTTTTGGGCCTGCCAGGCATTTTCCTACCAACAGGTGGTAAAGGCTTGCTGTGTCCAGTTAGAGGCCACATATTACTCCCATTCACAGGATTGATGTTTGTTGAGTAGCATTCCTTGAATTTATTCACTGAAAAGTAGTTACTAATATATCCATCTGGAGTTTGATGGATATAATTAATGGCTGCTATGGCATGGACACAAGGGATTCCAGACAAATCCCATAATCTGCAAGAACAAATCATACCATCCAAATCTACCTTGTAACTAGTACATGCTCTTCTCACTTCAAATACATTTCCTAAGCTATGCACTACTAACCAAAGCCTGCATAAAGACAAATGAGTATGTATTAGTCATTATATATCAACTATGATGATAATTAGACAAAGAAACAATTATTTTGTGTCTTACCTAAAGTTCTTTCCAAAAAGATTCATCTTCTTAATCACCTCTTGACATATATTACCTTTCCATTTACTGCATTCATCATTCATAAAGGAAAACCTGTCCATTATGTATATCCTTATCTCTTCAAGCATTTGAATCAAAGGTTTTTTCCTAGCTTCTACAATTATGGAGTTGAAACACTCTGAAATACCATTCTCCACTGCCTCACAAGCAAACCCTACACTCATGTAAGCTCTGCACCATGTTTTGGGTTCTTTTGACATTAGATACTCATATGCACTAGGGCTTATGGTCTTTATTTTTTCCATGTTTCTCATGAAGTCACCTTCAACACAACTCATTGCACAAGCCCAGAACAGCTTCTTCAACTCCAATCCAGAGAAAGCTTTATTAAAATTTGCATAAATGTGTCTAGCACATTGCCTGTGCTCCACATGTGGCAAAATAACCTTAACAGATTCAAGCAAACCCTGTGAACAGACATATTATCTTAGTATTTATAACCATATTGAAATAATCAAATTGAAGTATACTATAATTATAAGGGAACTTACTTTATGTTGATCAGAAATAACAACCAAATCTACACCAGTACCAAGGTCAAGATCATCCTTCAGAAGCTCCAGAAACCAGGTCCAATTATCCTTGTTTTCCACATCAACAACAGCCCAAGCTATTGGGAACACTTGGTTATTAGCATCTCTACCTATGGCTGTGAGTAATTCACCTTTTACCTGACCCTTTAGGAAGCATCCATCCAACCCTATTACCTTCCTACACCCTATTTTCCAGCAAACACTTAAAGCCTTGAAACATATATAAAACCTTTTAAAATAATTGTTATCATCTGGATTGTTAGTAACACCAACTTTGCATGTAGACACAGGGTTTGATCTCAATAACTCTTGGGCATAATCCCAAATTCTTGCATAGTGTTCATTTAATTTACCCTCAATCAGTTCTTTTGCCCACTGTTTTGCCCTTCTAACCTATCCTATAGATACGACACATCTATATCTTTGTTTGATGTCACTGATCATCTCCCTAAGTTTAACTTTGGGCTTATTTGCTATCTCAGTTACATAGTGTCTTCCAATCCATTCTGGGGTAACAATAGACCCAAATTTAAACACTCTAGAACAAAGATGCTCAGAATTCATTGCTTTAACCTGAAAGGTTCTGTCATTGTACATCCATGCTGCATAAAGTCTAAAAGAGCATTTATTATCTTCATGTCTCTTACCACATATTGCAACAATTCTTCTATTGTCACTCTTCTGAAAGTATATTTGGTACCCTCCATTTACTGCATAGTTTGTCACACAGAATTTCAGTTGTGCAGGTGATTCGAACACGTCCCCTAACTTAGGTTCCATCTTATCCCACCTAACATTTGGATCGTGTATTCTGTATTTGTTGGTCACTTCTTCCTCTGCCTCCTCATCATTTTGCAAATCATTACCATGGTCCACTCGATCTTTCATCTCATCAGTCATACTTGCATTTCTAATGTTCGCATCACAAAGTAGAATGTTAAGAAAATGATCCTTACATTTATCAAGCCTTGATACAAACTCATGTCGTGGTTCATGATCCATTTAAATCTCGTGCGGCTCAAAATCCATCTCATTTAACCCAGAAAATGGCTCGTAAATTCCAGCAAATGGGTCGTCGTAACCATCGTCTGAAGAACCCATTTCTAACCCCTGCACAATCGCAACCATTATCATGAAAAGTAAGGACTTAATAGAGATGATTTCTCGTAAAAACATGATCAGACTGTAATTTCTTACCTCTTGAAAAACCCTAGCTTCAGACAATGAGAATGCTTCACCAAAATGGGAGGGTGGAGAGTGTTAACGGAGGAGAAACGGAGAAGATGGGTAAATGTTACCGGTTGCAAATGGGGAAGTAACCGGTTGTTTAAGAGGAACCGGTAAAAAACATTGAAATGAAACATAAGGGGCAAATGTTAGGCATCTGTGGTAAAAAAATAAAAAAAATAAAAAAAATAAAAAAAAAAAAAAAAAAAAAACGATTTTGAGCATAACCGGTTTTTTTATGTAAATTTGGGGGCTTTTATGACAAAAACCCTTTCCATATTAGAGCTTTTCAAAATATCCCAAATCGAATAGTTTATGGTGATGATTTTGATGTTATCTAATTGGTAGTTTGGATTTTGTTAGATGCGCTATGCCAAGGGTGAAGTCTATTGCATTATGTTGGGTTCCTATTCACATTTATGTCACGGCTAACCAAAAAATTTGATACGTTTAATATATTAAGTTTTATATTTAATTTGATTTTTATAAATTATGTTTTGTGAGTATCGTGACTTAGTAAAAAAAGGATTACAACTTTTATCTCCAATTATTCATACTCAAAAACAAAATTAATTTTTACAAAATCATGTCATCTCATTCTTATTCTTTTTTTAAGAAAAAATTGTTTCCATTTCATACTTAAAAATATGATTAAAAATCATATTTTAAATATTCACGATATTTTTATAAATATTATAGAAGCTCGCCTTGTCTTTTATACGTAACCCAATTTTAAATTTTTAAAATGGGAGAATTTCATATATGCCTCTCTTAAACTTCAAAATATCATATTTGCTCAGCTTAATTTCTCAATATCATATTTACCCTTCATAAACCTTCAAAATATCATATTTGCCCAAATCCTTTTTTATAATATTTTTAATATTTTATAATCATTTTTTATACCTTAGAATTATTATAATAATTAAGAAATTTAACTGTATTATCCTTACGTCTATGATAATGCAATGCGAACTTCTAAATTGTTGGAATGTCGGCTTATTGACAGACAAAAAGATTCATCTTCAACCCTTTCTATGGAATGTATATTTTGATTGTTTAGCTTTTGTTGTTGTTGATTATTATTATGTTGTATATGGAGGATATTTTTGATATTACCATTGATATTTTGATGTTTAAAAAGTGCATATACGATATTTTGATATTTAAGAAGGGCATATATGATATTTTGATGTTTAAAAAGAACATATATGATATTTTGAAATTTTATGAAGGGTAAATATGATATTTAGAAATTTTATGAAGGGTAAATATGATATTTAGAAATTAAGTTGGGTAAATATGATATTTTGATGTTTAAGAAGGGCATATATAAAATATTAAATATAATAATTAACTAATAAATACAAACTACAAACAAATAATTTAAACACTTAATAGATAACTACGATTTTTACAAATCTTTTTGAAGAAAAAAATTAATAACACTATTATTTATCCATTTAATAGCTTAGTTTAATTTTTTGATCTTACCTAATATAAATATGATATTTCAAACTTTTGAATACTTTATATCTAAAAATCATAGACCTATAAATATACAATAATCATTTCCAAATAATATAAACATAAAATTTAATGATATTAATTTTATTTAAGTAAAGTGAGTTTAATTAACAATTTTTTGGTGTATATATTGTGGTACATGTCAAGATACAAGGTTATACCATTTATCCCTATTCACAAATCTCTTTGCCTCTTATGGAAGTCTTCATGTGATTTCAAAACGGTTAAAAGAATCATTATATGTTGTAGTAGTTTCCATTTCTATATTCTTCATAATCCATATAAAAATAAATTAGTATGTATTTTTTAGCATTTTCTTTGACTATTCAATTCACCAAATATCACACAAATGACCATCATACCCTTGGCAGCATTGCAACATCAAAACTAAAAATAATATATACCATATAGCTATTTTTTATTCCATTATTCAACCTTTAGGCAGACAAAAATAACAATGTAATTTCATTTAATTATTTATTATAACAGCCTACTTTCATTTTATCATGTTACAACCTACTTTTCCTACTTTTCCTTGTATTAACTACATCATTCCACATCATATACAAAACCAAGAAACCAAAATTATAAAAAGAAAAAAAGAAATACAAAAAATCAGTTTAAGCACCATCATCAACTACTTGTATACTGAACCTTAAACCCCAAACCAGTTAAAGGCTATTTACAAGGACTAATATTAGAATTTTTCTGGTGAAACATTAGTCATTCATGCAACAAAACCAACCCAAGACAAAATGAAAGACCAACATCAGTGAAATTTGAAAACAAAAAACACTAATATTTTTTTGCACTGCAGGATACACACTTAGATGCACAGACACACCTGAATACATATATTGCTTATGATTGTAACTTTAATCCAAAAATAAGCACATGACTTTTTTTTACTATAAACCTAATTAAATATGTTTCAATAAAAAAACACATACCCAAAGAACCATAATAAAAAGAACCTTGTACAATTGATAAGTTATTTATGTTTATTTCACCAATAAAGGGGCTTCTTAAAAGAAAATTCAATATACCTACAAAGCTAATCTTTTGGTACTTGGTGAAATTGGATTTACCTAGATAGAGAAATATAAAAAGAGTTAGATAGATGAGTCAACTTATACAGTGATACTGATGGGGACAAATATTGAAGCGACATACCATATTTTTAAAAGGAACAAATACAGACATTCAAAATAACCAGCTTGTTCATGGATCTGCATACTGAAGCAACAAAATGTAATTTATACATCAAATCGAAGCAACCTAATAAAACAAAAGAAATAAATATTCAAAATTAAGTTACATAAACACTGAAACGAAATCTACTATATGGACTTTAGGAACAAAATCCCAAATCCCCTTTCCTACTTAATCAGCAAAGGATCATCATCTTTTTTTTACCTTAAATTAGCTTACTATGTCCAATTGTCTCGGCACAAATCTCATTGGTCTAATAAACATTTCGATTTTACATTGCACCAACTTACAATGCTATAAAATTTCACCAACTCCTCTACACCATGATTATTCGAAATAATTCTCAAAAACTTCAAATTACACAATGTTATTATCACTTAGAATAACTCTTAACAGTAACCCATATATAATCCAAATAGAAAAACGTTTAAAACAACACAAAAGACTCTTTTATCCAACAAAAATCATCGATACGAACCTAGAGATGGTTAGGATTTATTGTGGTTGTGGCTTTTTGGGCATTTTTTATAGAGAGGGATGGAGGAGCACTGTCACTGACTCAAAAAATTCATATTCAAGGAACAGGGGGCTCTAAGAGCTCTAAGCTAGGCTTATTTACGGAGATTATAGCGAGAGAGATGAATGAGTTTGTGATGGTCTCCGATTAATGAGTTTGAAAATTGTGGTGGCTAGGGTTTCTCATTGCACTGATGTGACATCCCCATTTTCACGGCCAGAAAAGACCGATTTTGTTTATACTTTATAAAAATCAGAGTTCTTCTTTTAATAAAAATGTTGCGGAATTTGTTCCCAGAAAAACATGATAAATACGTTATTAAAACATTTCCGAAGAAACATATTTATTCGTTTCAAAACGTTTGGGATGTCATCGTTAATACAGAAACATAAGCATAAACCGAACTTACATTTATTTACACTAGTGATCTACATCTCTTTAAATCTCTCAGTGTAATGTGACCTCATATCAACACCTGTGATATAAATAAACTGAGTGGGTCAGGTTGGGAAACCTGGTGAGTACATAGGGTTTTCAACCCACAATACTATAATTATTATGTTTAAATAATCGAACAATCAACCCAATTACCCATCCCCATTATTTTCTTTATTCTTAAGGGTCTACCCTAAGAATCAGCTATTTCTCTTTCATTCATTCCTAAGGATCATCCTAAGGAAACAACATGAAGTCCATTATTGCCAATGACACATTGGTCAAGTCCAGCTGCTAATCTTGTCACTTAGGCGCAGCTGCCAGAATTGGGACATTTTCTATAAGGCGCTTCTGCCAGTATTGACCTTTAAACGCTACTGTCATGGTCATAAGGCTCCATATTAGGCGCAGCTGCCTATACTGTCCTTAGAGCGCATCTACTAGGACGTTTACCGTAGATCTAAAACATCTACGAGTTCTGGCGCAGCTGCCAGTGCCCATCTATAGGGTACTAGGTCCACTGCTGCCAATGTATACCTATAGGGCACTAGGTCTATGCTACTAATGTTCCTATATTTCAGCTTTTATCCCTCATCATTCATCTACCCATGTTCTACCCAACATATTTTGTAGATATAAAATACATATACAGTTTAAATCATTGAAAACATGTATAAAATGTTCATCCAGCATAGATAGCAAGTATTCAGATAATATGCACACATAGCACGTAATTTATATAAAATACTTCATATCTATGTGTAAGCTGAAAGTAACTATGCACTCACTTGAAAGGTGGTGACTCAACACTCGGACAGCGCTTCGATACTCTCAAAACAACTTTCCTTCGATAAAACCTAGTATCAACACCACTAGGGTTTAGTCTACCGATATCCGCGACAAATTAATAGTCTGACTATTATTATTATTATATAAGCGTTAAATATGTAATATCCCGAAATATCAAGAGTAGAGTTGAAGGGCTAAAAGAGTAAATTGGGAAAGAGTGACTCGGCGAGTCCATGTGCGGACTCGGCGAGTAGAGTCGCGACTTGGTCGCGTGTTAAGTGGCCGACTCGGCGAG